TGTGGGGTTGGGGGACAGGGGCTCCAGTGCAGGTGGGGCCCCGATGCACTCATACACATCCACAGAGAGATGCATTAGGCACTCTAACGTGGCCACTCAATCCTCCCTGCCTCTGTCAACTCAGCTGACCGTGGTGGAGAACCCACGGCTTGAGGTTCATTGTCAAGCCTGCCCTGGGTCCCCTCGTGTGAGACACATTCCATGCACCCTCCTTGGAGCTGTGTTGGGCAACACCAGTGCCCGCCCAGCTTCCTCAACACCCACTGTGCCCTGGGCCCTCATGCTTCTTGCCCCCTCCACCTTCTCCACACCCTGCCTCTCTTCTCAACCAGCCCCAGGCCCTCCCCAGGTGGAGGGAGCTGCGTTGGGCATTGTTGCCCACCCCTGGGTGCGTTAAACCCTATCCCCTCTTCCTCTTCCCAGCATGCCTGTGATCTCATATATCTTAAAGGCCACAGTGGACCCCGACTCCAGGAGTCACCGTGGCTTCGTCCCTTACGCTGCCATGAGTGGTGCCCTCAATCCCATCCATGCATTACAAATAAAGGGTTCTAGTCCTTTCACACTGAGTCACATTCACCTGAGTGAACCTGCCACGTTTTCTTAGGCCCTCAGCTCTCAAGAGACACCTGCTTACCTCCACAGCTGGGGTACTGTGAATCATTAATGCAGTAAACCTGGAGTATAAGGCTGTTGCTTGCATAGGGGGTTAAGCCTCTACCTATTTGCTGACATCTCATATGAGGACAGTTCAGGTCCCAGCTGCTCCACTCCTGATCCAGATCTCTGCTAAGGCACCTGGGAAAGCAGCCACCCACGTGGGGTACACAGATAATGTTTCTCCCTCTGGACTTTGCCCTGGGATAGCCCTGGCCATGGTGGCTGAGAGAGCCCTGGGCTGAGCAGAGGTCAAGGCCAGCTCTCCGGAGCCACAAAGTCAGCCTTCATGAGCCAGGGTCCACTTCCCCTGGGGGCTCCCGTGCCCAGGCTGCTCCTCCTTCCTGCAGGGAGCCTGATGTTGTTTCCTACACTCAGGCTGACTCCCGCCCCACCCCCCACTGCTGTCACAGGACCACACGTACCCTGCTGGGTGCCTGGTGGGGAAGGTGTGGGCCCTGGGTCTTACATTTCACTCAAGGTTCTTGTCCCCATGGAGATGAGGATTCACAGCAGCAGCAGCCACAGGCAGTGCACAAAAGCAGCTTTGATTTCAAGGAGAGAGAGCGTGACCACACCTGCACGCCTACTGAGGGCGCCACACACGGAGAGACCCTCAGCAGGAATGGGCCAGGGTTGCCAGGAGGAAGAGAGGAAGAGGCAGCCCAAGGAGGATTCCAAGCACAGCCAGGGGCAGAGAGGGCCCTCCCCTTTCTCATCTCAGGGGGCAGTGCCCTAAATGCATAACCCAGTGGGGTGGGATCTCACCTGTGGGAATATTGAAGGGATTGCTATGGCCCCTCCATCCAGAATTTCTCTTCCCTGTTTCCATCATGGCTTCTCCTTCCTGGTCCCAGCTGAGACACAGGTGCATCCTGGGAAAGTGGTGTAAAATATTGAATAGCGGGGGCTGGCAGTGTGGCTCATGGTTAATGTCCTGGACTCTAGTGCTGGCATCCCAAATGGGCACCGGTTCGAGACCTGGCTGCTACATTCTGATCCAGCTCTCTGCTGTAGCCTGGGAAAGCAGTGGAGGATGGGCCAGGTCCTTGGGCCCCTGCAGCCGCATAGGAGTCCTGGAGGAAGCTCCTGGCTTCAGATCGGCGCTGCCTGGCTGTGGTAGCCATGTGGGGAGTGAACCAGCAGAAAGATGACCTCTCTGTCTCTCTCTCTCTTTCTCTCTGCTTTTGCCTCTCTCTGTGTATCTGTGACTTTCACGTAAAATAAGCAAATCTTAAAAAAAAAAATAACTCCCTTATCTCTTTGACTCTCTGGAACTCTGCCTTTCAAATAAATAAATACATCTTTTTAAAAAATAGATTCATAGAGAAGGCCTCCAGGGTGTCCAGTCACAGCCCAGTGCTGCTTGCTGTCCATCCCTACACTATCCTGGAGTCAGCCGGCGAGGACAGTAAACTTGGTGACTCCAGGACTGAGGAGAGGGATTGGACACCCAGAGGAGCCAGGAGCCAGGGGAGGCAGGAGCCAGGGGAGGAGCCAGGAGCCAGGGGAGGCACCCACCAGGCCCTGTCCTCTCAGTCCTGCTCTCCTGTAAGGCCCCCAAGCCCTGCCCCCGGGGCTCGCCCCACCTGTTCCCTTCAGGTCATGGGCTGGGCCAGCGACTGCCCCTGGAGGGCCTGGTCAGCCTCTGGGCTCAGAGCCACACACGGGGACCTGCCCCAGACCATGGGGACGCATCATGGGGATGCATGAGGATCCCGCAGGCAGCGACAGGGACCCGGGTCAGATCTGCCCAATCACACACTTAGAGTCTGCAGCCTCAGTAGGACAATACCCAGGTGTCGGTAGTAGGTAGAAGTGACAGCGCTGCCCCTGAGGCTCCGAGAAAGTCGGGGCTGCCCGAGGCCCCAGACGCAAGGGACTGAGCCCAACATAAGGGCTCTGAGCAGCGCAGCCTTTGGTCATCAGCCCAGGAGGCAGGGGCGGCGTGGGAGCTGGGAGGTTCGCTGGGCTCCAGGTTGCTGGAGCAAGTGACCAAAACAGTGAGGAACATGCCCTGGGACCATTTGTCTCCAGGGCTGCAGACCATTGGCAGAGCGGCTCCCTGCCCCACCAGGTGGCCCCAATCGCGTAACATGACCTGCAAATACAAAGCCCCTGATGCCTATCCAGAAGCCCATCCCTAACCCAGGGTCTCCTCTGACCCCGTGCACCTGGCAGATGTTTGCATGCTAAGGTGCCAGGGCGAAGGTGACCCCACCCTAGAACCTGGCATTAGTTTTATCGTGAATCAGCCCGCGTGGGATTTACCCATGGGGTGTGTGCTTGATTCTTTGTCTCCTCATTCTAAAGGCCCAGGTCTCTAACCCCACCCTCTCCCTATCTAATCCCCAGCACAGGCCCCACTCCTCCTCCTCCATGCTCACCCACGGGCTCCCCGCCTGCCCTGCAATGCACAGACTCTCCCGGCGACCAGGACCTTCCAGGCAGATCGTCTCCCCCACATCACTGTGGTTCCTAATAAAGTAATATCTGGGGCTGGGTCCCCACTCAGAGAGGGGGCAGTTGTTCCCCAAGGACCCTGGGAGTCGCTGTGCGTGTCCGGGGCAGGAACCGCGGCAGCGTCTGCACAGAAGCCGCCCCTGTCCTCCGTGGACTCTGCTGAGCTCAGCTCACTGTCAGCCTCACAGCCGGAACTGCCGCTGCAGGCAGCGCTGTCCTCCATGGTTGGGGCGAATGACAAGGACAAGGTCGGGACCAGCTCAGGACAGAGGTGATGTTTACTCACCGCTCCGGGGCCAGGCTCTTCTCTCCCTGACCCAGGGGCCCAGAGCACCCTTGTGGCCGGGCATCGCCTACTCTGACATGGGAGGTTCCTCCCGAGGAGGAGTCAGCTTCCATGGGCTGGGGATGATTGATTTCTGCTGGTTTGAAGACAGAGAGACAGGGAAAGTGGGAGAGACAGAGTGAGAAAGAGCTCTCCCCTCCATGGTCACCCTCAGATGCCCGCTGTGTTAGGAGGGGAGCATCCCAGAGGCCTTGCTACTGCTGCTCCAAGTGTCTGCCCAATAGTTCTGGGCCAGGCCAGCTGTCTGGGACAGAGCTCCCATAACCAGCTTTCCCTGTGGGTGATGGCTCCCTCGTGCGTTATTCAGTGAGTCTGCTTAGGCTTTCTGGATTCAGTGACCATGAAATGCTTTGGGGCCAGAATGTGGCACTCAGAGCACATTAAATCCAGGTACAGAGAGAAAAGCAGACGCTCTCCCCATGTCCAGGAGAGGCCACAGGCTCTCTGTCTGCAGGGGGCGCTGTGTCTGGGTGAGGTTCACTTGGCTCCACATGCTTGTAGGAGGCCCCGACTCCATCAGCAGATCCTGCAGCTCCCTGAGATGGGCACCAGAGGGGGTCGTCATGGTCACTGAGCCAACAACAGGGCAAGGACATTGGCCAGGAACCCGTGTATGCCCTTAGGACTGGAGACTGTGGGAACGGGGAGGTTCCTGAGTCTAGAGTGAGGTGAGGGTCGTCCACTGCCCTTCCTGGGGAAACGCCATCCGTCCATCCAGGCTCGTATGCGGAAGGCTGGCCTGCTCTGGCATGGCTGTGTCTGGGCATCCAGCACTGAGTGTCCCCTCCTGCAGTCACGACTTCCCACAGAGTCCCCTGTCAGTCAAGAGTGGTCCCCAGACTCTCAGACACCTGAGGTTCCCTGATGTTGGACCATCCCATGTCGCTCCCCCTCTTCGCGGAGGAACGACACAGGACCCTGCGTTGTTCTTTTGTCTGCTCGGCCCTTTTTGGGTTTGCTGCTGGTTCTTCCCGGGTTGGATACTGTCCTTCCACCTCCGTGGAAGGGCGGCTCCCCCTGCCACTTTCCCCACTTCTGCGGGGGAGCGGCACACCGCCGGCCGGCTCTCTCGGGGGCTGCTCAGATGTTATCCGGATGTTCCCCTTAGATGTTCCTGGTGCATGGTGTCTCTCTCCTCCTTTATAGTCCTCTTCCACCAATCCCAACTCTGCTACCCACACGCCGAGTACGCTGCTCTCCTCCAATCAGGAGCAGGATCAGCTCCTGCAGGTTATTGGTTGAACTGGAGGCAGCTGTGTAAAAGTTGTTTACTCCTCTCCCAGCGCCATATTGTGGGAGAGCAGATGCATAGAATAAGTCTTAATTCCAGTAACTTAGTCTAGTCCGAGTTGCTCCCCACAATCCCAGCTCACCCAGAGTCTAGGACCTGGAGCCTGGTGGGAAGTGTCTTATGGAGGCCCATGAGTGAGCAGGGCTGTAGGAGGAGGCCCCGGGAGGGTCGGGCACACTAGACCCAGGCTCTAGACTAATGGCTGCCTTGGGTGGCTCCAGGTGTCTGCAGAACTTGGCCATGATGGGTCAAGATTTTCTGCAGCTGAACCTCACCCCACCGTCGATCCCCATGTCCGAGGACTGCCTGTACCTCAACATCTACTCGCCTGCACGTGCCCGTGAGGGCTCTGACCTGCCTGTGAGTGTGGGGCAGGGTCGGCCAGGGTGTGAGGGCATTGCCTTCTGCTACAAGTAGAAAAAGGAGAAGCTGAGCACGGGCCCTCCTGTGAGCGCACATTGTCCAGAAGCCTCTCATTATCGGAGCCCAGAAGTGCTGCTCACCCTCAATGGGCAGCTGAGGCCTGAGCAGGAGGTCCCGGGGCCTGGCTGCTGTCAGAGGTCAGAATGAGTGGGTCCTGGATGGCCCCAGGACATTGCCATCATCCTCATGCCCAGGAGACTCACTCTGCTGTGTGGTGAGGGCTGACCTTGGAGGTCACACAGGAAATCAGCCATGGACGCTTGGGCAGCCCCTGGGGAGGGAGGGCACTTTGAATGACATCCATGTGGAAGGACCAAGACTCAGCCCTTAGCTTTCCACCTCACTGCAGGTTCTGGAATTGACGCAGCCAAGCTCTGAAACAAGGGCTAGAACTCCAAGGATGGGAGGCCTGGCCTTCCTGCTGGCACTGGGACCCTGGCTCATGACCCAGATCCTGCTGTCTGGGTGGAGTTCAGTGTGCTGGGCACCTGCACAGTCCCCAGGCCCTGGTTAGACCAAGAGGGGGATGAGCAGGCTTTACACTGGGGGGAGCCACAAGGTCCATCCTTGACTCCCCAGGTGATGGTGTGGATCCATGGTGGCGGGCTGACTATGGGCATGGCTTCCATGTATGACGGTTCTGCCCTGGCGGCATTTGAGGACGTGGTGGTGGTCACCATCCAGTACCGCCTGGGAGTCCTGGGCTTCTTCAGGTGAGATCGGGGCTGGGGTGGGCCCTGCAGGAAGAGTGGCACCAGGACAACCCAGTGACCCCTGTCCCTGCCACTTCTTAGCACTGGAGACCAGCACGCCACCGGCAACTGGGGCTACCTGGACCAAGTGGCCGCGCTATGCTGGGTCCAGCACAATATTGGAGGCAACCCTGGCCGGGTCACCATTTTCGGCGAGTCTTCTGGTGGCACGAGTGTGTCTACGCATGTGCTGTCACCCATGTCCCAAGGTCTCTTCCACGGAGCCATCATGGAGAGTGGGGTGGCCCTGCTGCCCGGCCTCATCACCAGCTCGTCTGAGGAGGTCTCCACAGTGAGTGTCCTCACTGCCCAGCCAGCACAGCTGCTCCTGCCTCTATTACAGTCTCAGGGAAATGAGCACAGCGTGGACCATTGGGTGTGTGGGCTCTGCTGTCTACTGGTGACTGCTGAGCTCTCCGTGGTCAGAATCCACACACCTGAGCCACAGCAGAGGAAGAACTGGTTCTCGGCTCCACCAAGCTGCCCACCTTGACCCCAGGTTGTAGCAGCCAGGTGCTGCCATTGTGGCTGGGCGGTACCAAGTCATGGGGAAGAAGGAATAATCAGCTTCCAACTGCAACCATGTCCACACCACACCCTGAGCTAGATTGGGTTCACCTGCCTCCAGTGGGGCCATGGGAAACCCCATGTCTCCCACATGGCTGTGCCAGCCCCTGTGTGGTCCCATTACAGGTGGTGGCCAACCTGTCTGGCTGCGGCCAGGTGGATTCTGAGACACTGGTGTGCTGCTTGCGGGCCAAGAGTGAAGAGGACATGCTGGCCATCACCCAGGTCGGGCCCCGTGCACGTGGGTGAGGGGGTGATGGGCTTGTGTGCACCTCATAGTCCCTGGGGCTGCTACCTCCCATCCATGCCCTCCTGACATCTTAGCCCTGGATGGAACAGGGACCCAGTCTTGTATGCCAGGCTTGGGAACTCCCAGGTGGGAGTGAGCACCCAGAGCTGCGCCCGGCATGGGGGATGTACACAGAGCAAACTCAAGCTTTCTCCCTGTCCCTGTGTGACATCAGGTCTTCAAGGTGTTCGCAGGGGTGATAGACGGAGTCTTCCTGCCCAGACACCCTGAGGAGCTGCTGGATCTCCTGACTTTCTTTTTTTTTTTTTAAGCATCTTTTTTTTTTTTTTTTGAGATGCACAGTGGACAGTGAGAGAGAGAGACAGAGAGAAAGGTCTTCCTTTACCATTGGTTCACCCCCCAATGGCCGCTGTGGCCGGTGCGCTGCGGCCGGTGCACTGCACTGATCCGAAGCCCGGAGCCAGGTGCTTCTCCTGGTCTCCCATGGGGTGCAGGGCCCTTCGCCAGGATGGAATGAGCTCCAGTCTCTCCCGGATAGGGCTCTTGGCCCAACGTATGGATGAAAGCAGGAGGCTCAGATGGGATCCAGTGTACATTCAAGGAGCAGAGCCAGGAATGGAATCTGAACCGCTCAGGGTGCAGCCTATACCCGCTCTTCCTCTGTCCCCCCAGGCATGAGTGTCCATCTTGGGTGCAAGGGTTCAAGTCATGTCTGTTTCCTGAACAATGTCCCAGGTCAGAGGGAAGAAAATATCTAGGCAAGGAAGGTGGCAGTGTCAAGGACTTAGGGGCTGACTGGGGACGTGGGGCTGGATAAGGCTGGGTACAGCTGGTGAGGGGATGACGACAGAGGTTGGCGGGTAGCCGAGGGTCTGCTCCACCTGAGCTGGTGAGCGTGGTACATGATGGGCAGCAGGACTGGGGTGGCCGAGCTGACCCTGCCCCTCCCCCATGCAGTGGCCCTCACTGAGGAGGAGGAGCTGCTGAGCAGGAGGGTGATGAAGTACTGGGCCAACTTTGCTCGCAACGGGTGAGACAACCCCCCCCCCAAATCCCCAAGGGACCTGGGACACTCTGCCCTCCCTCCTCTTGGGGGACCTCACCAACATCCAGGGACCTAAGTCAGGTGACAGCGCCCCCCCAGCTGCAGGACCCACTGGCACTCACAGGGGCCTTGGGACCAGGCACATCTTCCCATCTCCCAGTGACCTGGGGTGGCCATGAGCTGCTCTGCCCAGAGGATCCCTGTCGGGGAGGGACAGGCCAGGTCAGGATGCTGGGTCCCCACGTGGGGCTGACACCAGGGTAGGTCATACTGCTGCTGCTTCTGGAAACCCATTCCTCACCCCTCCTGCCTGCAAGGTGGCTTGGCTGGACCCCAGATAGGTGCCCATGGCTGGGCTGGGCAGGGCCCAGAGTGACCACGGTGCCCCCTTCCTGATGTCTTGTCTGCGGGAACCCCAACGGCGAGGGCCTGCCGCACTGGCCCGTGTTCGACCAGGACGAGCGATACCTGCAGCTGAACGTGCAGCCTGTAGTGGGCCAGGCCCTGAAGGCCCGCAGGCTCCAGTTCTGGACCCACACCCTGCCCCAGAGGGTCCAGGAGCTAAGGGGCACTGAGCAGAAGCACACAGAACTATAGCTGCCTGTGGGGTGGTTGAGGACAGGGGCTCCAGTGAAGGTGGGGCCCGATGCACTCACACACATCCCTGGAGCAGCCACGCATTCAGCACTCTCACACGGCCACTAATTCCTCTTGGCCTCCATCCACTCAATAGACCGTTGTGGAGAACTCACGGTTTGAGGTTCATTGCCAAGCCTGCCCTGGGGCCCCTCGTGTGAGACACACCCAGTGCACCCGCCATGGAGCTGTGTTGGGCAACACCAGTGCCAGCCCTGCTTCCTCAACACCCACTGGGCCCTGGGCCCTCATGCTTCTTGCCCCCTCCACCTTCTCCACACCCTCCCTCTCTTCTCAGCCAGCCCCAGGCCCTCCCCACAAGGAGGGAGCTGCATTGGGCATTGTTGCCCACCCCTGGGTGCCTTAAGACCAATCCTCCTCCTCCCGGCATGCCTGTGATCTCACATCTCTTAGAGGCCACAGAAGACCCAGACACCGGGAGTCACCATGGCTTCGTCCCTTACGCTGCCATGAGTGGTGCCCACAATCCCATCCATGCAGCACAAATAAAGGGTTCCAGTCCTTTCACGGCTGAGTCACGTCCACCTGAGTGAACCTGACACATTTTCTTAGACCCTCAACTCTCAAGAGACACCTGGTTACCTGCATAGCTGGGATACCATGAATCATTAATGCAGTAACCTGGAGTATAGGGCTGTTGCTTTGCACAAGGGGTTAAGCCTCTAACCATGTCGCTGACATCTCATATGAGGACAGTTGAGGTCCCAGCTGCTACACTCCTGATCCAGATCTCTGCTAAGGCACCTGGGAAAGCAGCAGAGGAGGGCCCAAGGGCTTGGGCCCCTGCCACCCACGTGGGGTACACAGTAATGTTTCTCCCTCTGGACTTTGCCCTGGGATAGCCCTGGCCATAGTGGCTGAGAGAGCCCTGGGCTGAGCAGAGGTCAAGGCCAGTTCTCAGGGAGCACAAAGTCAGCCTTCATGAGCCAGGGTCCACTTCCCCTGGGGGCTCCCGTGCCCAGGCTGCTCCTCCTTCCTGCAGGGAGCCTGATGTTGTTTCCTACACTCAGGCTGACTCCCGCCCGACCCCCCCACTGCTGTCACAGGACCACACGTACCCTGCTGGGTGCCTGGTGGGGAACTGTGGGCCCTGGGTCTTACATTTTACTCAAGCTTCTTGTCCCCATGGAGATGAGGATTCACAGCAGCAGCAGCCACAGGCAGTGCACAAAAGCAGCTTTGATTTCAAGGAGAGAGAGCGTGACCACACCTGCACGCCTACTGAGGGCGCCACACACGGAGAGACCCTCAGCAGGAATGGGCCAGGGTTGCCAGGAGGAAGAGAGGAAGAGGCAGCCCAAGGAGGATTCCCAAGCACAGCCAGGGGCAGAGAGGGCCCTCCCCTTTCTCATCCCAGGGGCGGTGCCCTAATGCATAACCCAGTGGGGTGGGATCTCACCTGTGGGAATATTGAAGGGATTGTTATGGCCCCTCCATCCAGAATTTCACTTCCCTGTTTCCATCATGACTTCTCCTTCCTGGTGCCAGCTGAGACACGGGTGCATCCTGGGAAAGTGGTGTAAAAGATTTACAAGCAGGCCAGAGCCCCGGCTCAATAGGCTAATCCTCCGCCTTTGGCTCCAGCACACCGGGTTCTAGTTCCAGTCGCAGCGCTGGCTTCTGTAGCATCTGCTCCTCTTCCAGTCCAGCTCTCTGCTGTGGCCCAGGAGTGCAGAGGAGGATGGCCCAAGTCCTTCGGCCCTGCACCTGCATGGGAAAGCAGGAGAAGCACCTGGCTCCTGGCTTCGGATAAGCACGATGCGCCGGCCGCAGTGCACTGGCCGTGGCGGCCATTGGAGGGTGAGCCAATGGCGTTGTTCTTCCTGCCTGGTTGCCAGGTATCAGGACCAGCAGGTTTTCACTGTCAAGGAGAGGACAGAACTGTGTCTCAGAAGAAGCTGGGGACACAGCACACATTGGGTTCAGCCCTTAGTTAGTGCCATGGTCACTGCCTCTCAAAACCTGGACCCTGAGTGAGCAGGGAGGGGATGGGCAGAGTCGGGAAAGGATGGAGGAGGGGCCTGGACCCAGTGGGCACCCAGCCTGGAAACCAAGGAGGAGCTTCCAGGATCTGGGACAGTGACACCTGCCAGCCTTGGCTCATGTGACCCCTGGGGCAGGGGCTGTGGCACAGAGCAGTAAGCCACCATCTGCAGTGCCTTCATCCCATGTAGGCACAGAGCCGAGCCCTGGCGGCTTCACTTCAAATCCAGCTTTCTGCTAATGTGCCTAGGAAAGCAGCAGAAGGCCCACGTGCTTTGGCCCCTGCACTCACCTGGGAGAAGCAGAAGAAGCTCCTGGCTCCTGGCTTTGGCCTGGTCCAGCCCCAGCAGTTTGGGGAGTGAACCAGATGATACAAGATCTCTCCCTTGGAGCCAGAGCTGTGACATAGTGGGTAGGGTCACTGCCTGCAGTGCCAGCACCCCCTATGGGCACCGGTTCAAGACCTGACTGCTCCATTTCAGATTTAGCTCTTTGCTGTAGCCTGGGAAAGCAGTGGAGGATGGGCCAGGTCCTTGGGCCCCTGCAGCCGCATATGAGACCTGGAGGAAGCTCTTGGCTCCAGGCTTCAGATCGGCGCAGCCTGGCCGTTGTAGCCATGTGGGGAGTGAACCACCAGAAAGAAGACCTCTCTGTCTCTCTCTCTGTGTCTCTCTCTCTTTCTCTCTGCTTTTCCCTCTCTCTGTGTGTATCTGTGACTTTCAAGTAAAATAAGCAAATCTTAAAAAATAAAATCACTTCCTTATCTCTTTGACTCTCTGTAACTTGCCTTTCAAATAAATAAATACATCTTTTTAAAAAATAGATTCTCAGAGAAGGCCTCCAGGGTGTCCAGTCACAGCCCAGTGCTGCTTGCTGTCCATCCCTACACTATCCTGGAGTCAGCCGGCGAGGACAGTAAACTTGGTGACTCCAGGACTGAGGAGAGGGATTGGACACCCAGAGGAGCCAGGAGCCAGGGGAGGCAGGAGCCAGGGGAGGCAGCCCCGCCGGGGACCCCACCAGGCCCTGTCCTCTCAGTCCTGCTCTCCTGCAAGACCCCCAAGCCCCACCCCCGGGACACCCTGCCTGTTCCCTGCCTGTCCTGGGCTGGGCCAGGATCCGCCTCTGGAGCAATCCAGAGAGCCTCTGGGCACAGAGCCCCACCTGCAGACCTGCGTCAGACCATGTGGACGCAGCGACAGGCTTAGGGCGCCGTGACCTGCAGGCTCCTGCTGCTCCTCCTCATCCCGGTACCCAGTGAGGATCCCACGGGCAGTAACAGGAACCAGGGTCAGATCTGCCCAATCCCGCAATTAGAGCCTGCGGCCGCAGAGAAACAACACCTGGGTGGCTGAAGCCAGTGGAAGTGACAGGGCTGGCACCTGAGGCTGGGGAGGGTCGGGGCTGCCCGAGGATACAAACACAGAGGACTGAGCCCACAATAAGGGCTCTGAGCAGCGCAGCTCTTAGTCAGCAGCCCGGGAGGCAGGGGCGGTGTGGGAACTGGGGAGGTTCCCCGGGCTCCAGGCTGCTGGAGCAAGTGACTCCGACAGTGAGGAACCCGCCCTGGGACAAGTTGTCTCCAGGGCTGCAGACCGTTGGCAGAGCGGCTTCCTGCCCAACCAGGTGGCCCCAGTCGAGGTAACTGGACCTGCAAACTACAAAGCCCCTGATGCCAATCCAGAAGCCCATCTGTAACCCAGGGTCTCCTCTGACCCCATGCACCTGGCAGAAGTTTGCAGGCTAAGGTTCCAGGGGGAAGGTGACTCCACCCTAGAACCTGGCATTTGTTTTATCATGAATCAGCCCACGTGGGTATTACTCAGGGCGTGTGTGCTTAATCCTTTGTCTCCTCATTCAATAAGCCAGGTCTCTAACCCCACCCTCTCCCTATCTAATCCCCAGCACAGGCCCCACTCCTCCTCCTCCATGCTCACCCACGGGCTCCCCGCCTGCCCTGCAATGCACAGACTCTCCCGGCGACCAGGACCTTCCAGGCAGATCGTCTCCCCCACATCACTGTGGTTCCTAATAAAGTAATATCTGGGGCTGGGTCCCCACTCAGAGAGGGGGCAGTTGTTCCCCAAGGTCCCTGGGAGTCGCTGTGCATGTCCGGGGCAGGAACCGCGGCAGCGTCTGCACAGAAGCCGCCCAAGTCCTCCGTGGACTCTGCTGAGCTCAGCTCACTGTCAGCCTCACAGCCGGAACTGCTGCTGCAGGCAGCGCTCTCCTCCATGGTTGGGGCGAACGACAAGGACAAGGTCAGGACCAGCTCAGGACAGAGGCGCTGTTTACTCACTGCTCCGGGGCCAGGCTCTCCTCTCCCTGACCCAGGGGCCCAGAGCACCCTTGTAGCCGGGCATCGCCTACTGTGACATGGGAGGTTCCTCCTGAGGATGAGTCAGCTTCCATGGGCTGGGGATGATTGATTTCTGCTGCTTTGAAGGCAGAGACACAGGGAGAGGGAGAGACAGAGTGAGAAAGAGCTCTCCCCTCCACGGTCTCCCTCAGACGCCCGCTGTGTTAGGAGGAGAGCATCCCAGCGGCCTTGCTACTGCTGCTCCAAGTGTCTGCCCAACAGTTGGCACTTCCCTTGGGCTTCTACCGAGGGTGGGACCTGCAGGGCGGTGGAGCTCCAGGTTAAGTGTTGCAGGACTGCCAGTCGGGTTCCCAGAGCAGGTGTCCTGTTTCCCTACCCCAGCGATGCGCAGAGGTCCCCTCCCCACCCCCGCGACCGCGCTCTGCACCCCTGTGCGGGTGCCCTGTGTGCTGAGTCTCCCTCACGCTTCAGCTCCCCCTCTGCCTCGCTGTGCTCTTCCTCCTGATTCCTGTGTTGAGAAACCGGTGTACCCCTGGCTCTCTCTGGAGGGGGAGGCACCCTCCCTGTGGTGCCTTCTGGCCGTTCCTCTGTCCCCTCACCCTGTGTACACAGCAATTGTAGCCTAGAGGCTCCGTCAGGTTCAGCTGTTAGGGTTCAGCTGCTGTTTTTTCTTGTTTTCCGAAGAAAAGCATGTGGTGCTGAGTCCTCACCATAGAACATCTCGACCTTTTCATATCTGATTCGTGGCACAACACAGGTTATGAGGGGCTGCATTGGAGCAGCAGTGGTGCCACCAATGGGGACGCCCCAGCCCTGAGCCCTGTGCTCGGGTCCCGCCTCGGCACCTCCTGATTCCAGCATCCTGCCTAGGTTCAGTCTGAGAGGCAGCAGGGGGGCTCCGGTACTGATCCCTGCCTCCCACTGGGAGACCCGGATTGAGTTCAGGGCTCCTGGCCTATCAGGACCCCGTCCAAGCTCTGGTGGGCATTTGGAGAGGGAACCAGCACCAGGACATCTCTGTCTCTCTGTGTGTGTCTCTGTCTTTCAAATAAATAAAAAAAAGTTAAACAAGGTGTCAGGTCCCACTTGCTTCCTCATCACTTGTGTGAGATCCTTGTCTGTGGGCACATCCTTATAGCTTCCTGGTGATGAGTGCCTGGCACATGCTGATTCGTTGGTAGAAACTCTTTACTGATCCATGGCCTTCCCCATTCAGTGACTTGTCACCTCCTCCCTCGCTGGTCCCCAGGTCAGGCTGTGCTTGTCCCGTCCTGGGCACAGTCACCTCCCTCCTGCATTCATGGCACCAATGCCATCTCTTTTAGAGAGCATGCTTTGTTTTGCTTTTTAAAAAAATGTTTTATATTAGACAATTATGTGAAAATGTTTTGTATTGTCTTTAAGATTTCTTATTTATCGGAAATGCTGAGTTCCAGACAGAAAGGGAAAACAGATCTTCCATCCTCTGATCCCCTCCACATGTGTGCATAACAGTCAGGGCTGGGCCAGTCCAAACCAGGAGCCATCCAGGTCCTCCAGGAGGGTGCAGGGCCCAGGCGCTGGGGGAGTCTACTACGTCCCCAACCCATTAGCAGGGAGCTGGATCCAGGTGAAGCAGCCAGGATGGAACTGTGTAGGGGATGCTGGCCATGCAGGCTGTGGGTGCACCCGAGCGCCACTACACCGCCCCCTAGAGGACGCTTCCTTTCTTCCCTTCTTGTGGCCTGGAGCATGAGCCTCCTAGCAGGGGAGCCTGGTCAGTCTGGTGCTCACAGCTCTACCTCCTGTGACCGAGGGCAGTCAGCAGAAAGGACGCTCTCCTCGCCCCAGGGCTGTCACCTGCGCTGACTCCTAGTGCTCAGGGAGGGTGCTAGGTCCCAGGAGCCTCGGGAGCTGTGGGATGTCCTGGGCTGGGCAGGGACAGCACTGCTGGCTGGGAGATGGGGGAGAGTTTCTCATGCAGGACGTTGGTCAGGTCAGTGTTTGTAGGTCCGAGGCCTTGGCAAGGCTGAGGTGCGATGCCAAGGAGAGGCCACAGCAGCAGTGTGGGCGGGCAGCTCATGGGGAGCCCCCACCTGACACCTCTCTGCCCACAGGCCAGGACTCTGCCAGCCCCATCCGGAACACGCACACGGGGCAGGTGCGTGGGAGCCTGGTCCACGTGGGAGGCACCAATGCGGGCGTCCACACCTTCCTGGGAATTCCCTTTGCCAAGCCACCTCTGGGGCCGCTGCGCTTTGCACCTCCTGAACCTGCTGAAGCTTGGAGTGGAGTGAGGGACGGGACCTCCCACCCAGCCATGTAAGTCCTCCCAGGGCACAGGGGAGCTCCGGCCCTGGGGTGGGGTCGGGGGCCCTCTAGACCCTGGGCATGGCACAGTTGTCTGTTCACCCACATCCCAGTCTGTTTTCCTGCCGTGTTCAGCAGATTCCCATGAGCCTTTTTCCCATGAATCATCTATTGGCTCCGGGGGGAGGTGCAGTGGCTTTGCCAGGCTCCTGGCTCTGGCTTGGCATTCAGAGGGCCTCGGCTCCAGGGTTGAAGAACGAGCAGAGACTCTTCAGTTGGGGCGCTGTCCCCAGGACGGGTTCAGGGGGCTCCGCGAGGCAGGCAGCAGCCCCTGACTCCAGCAGCAGATCCTGCAGGTCCCTGAGGAGGGCAGCGGTGGTGGCTGCCTGGGGACATTGTCCAGAGTCACTGAGCCAGGTGCCTGTGGCCAAGGGATTTGTTTTTTTAAAGATTTATTTATTTATTTAAAAGGCAGAGTTACACACAGAGAGAAGGAGAGGCAGAGAGAGAGAGAAAGAGAGAGAGAGAGAGAGAGAGAGAGAGAGAGAGAGAGAGAGAGAGAGGTGTTCCGATCTTTGGTTCACTCCTCAATTAGCCGCAACTGCCAGAGTTGCACTGGTCCAAAGCCTGGAGCCAGGAGCTTCTTCAGGGGTTCCCACATGGGCACAAGGGCCCTCATGCTTGGGCCATCTTCTACTGCTTTCCCAGGCAATAGCAGAGCTGGATTGGAGGGGGCAGCTGAGTCTCGAACCGGCGCCCATATAGGAAGCCAGCTCTGCAGGCGGCAGCTTTATCTGCTCATGCCACGTGCTGGCCCCGGGATTGGTTTAGTCCTTAGGACTGGAGCCTGTGTTGGAGTGAGGAGGCTCCCGAGAGTGTGTGTGTAGGATGGGGAACGTCCCACTGCCCTTCCAGGAGCAGTTCCATGTTCCGTTCCTGCAGCCCCTGTGTGTGGGCTGTGCCCTGTTCCAGGCCTGAGTGGGGACTGGGATACAGCAGTGAATGTCATCACACGTCGTCAGCGGGTTTCCCCAGAGTCCCCTAAAATCAAGGCTTCCCAGCTCCGAGGCAGTGGGCTCCAGAACCCTCGACAACACTGAGACCTCCCCAGAAACCCACAGCAGCTTCCCAGAGCCTGTGGACTACAACTTGATGGGAAGAGACACGGAGAAAGGTTGTGTGTGAACAGGGCATCGGGGAGGGAGGACCGAGGTTGCAGGGAGAAAGTCCAGACCCAGGTCCGGTTTGGCCCTGGCTGGCCCCTGGACTGACTTTCTCACGTGGGCGGTCACCAGGTGTCTGCAGGACATTGCTGCCATGAATACACAGGCTCTGAAACTGGGGAATCTGACCCTGCCGTCCATCCCCGTGTCCGAGGACTGCCTGTACCTCAACATCTACTCGCCTGCCCGTGCCCGTGAGGGCTCTGACCTGCCTGTGAGTGCGGGCAGGGTCGGCCGGGGTGGGGGGCATTGCCTTCTGCTAGAAGATGAGAAAGCATAGGATGGGAGGGGGCCAACACGGCATGTGATCTGCTGAGGAGCCTCTCAACATCAGCCAAGAAATGCTTCTTACCCAGGTGGGCACCTGACCCTGAGAGAACGAGTCTCAGAGCCTAGGGGCTCCCGGAAGTCAGAGGCTGTGGCCCTGGGACAGACCTAGGACCCACCCAGCCAGCTTGTGCCCAGGAAGACCACTCAGGGGCCCAAGGCCTGCACTTAGAGGTCATCAAAACCCAGCCATGGACTATCTGAGGGTCAATGCTAATAGTAAAGTAATTGAATCCAAGTGCACTCACGGGACACTTTTGATTAATGTCATGTGGGACAACCAGGGGAACACCGTTTCCATGACACCTCACAAGGAGTTCTGGGAGTAATGGAACCAGGCTTTAATGCACAAAGTGGAGCAAAAAGTATGGAAGGCCAGTTTCTCCTGCTGAGACAGGGCCCAGGTCCTGCCCCCTGCTGGAGCTCTGTCTCCATGAGCAGGTGCACAGAGCCAAGTGCTGGGTAGTCCAGGTGGCAGCCCAGGTGAGGTTTAGGCTGGGTGGGAACCTTGTGGTACTGGCCTTGACTTTCCCCAGGTGATGGTGTGGATCCATGGGGGTTCACTGGTTATAGGCTTGGCTTCCATGTATGACAGTTCTGCGCTGGCGGCATTTGAGGACGTGGTGGTGGTCACCATCCAGTACCGCCTGGGAGTCCTGGGCTTCTTCAGGTGAGACCGGGGCTGGGGTGGGCCCTGCAGGAAGAGTGGCACCAGGACAGCCCTGTGACCCCCTGTCCCTGCCACTTCTCAGCACTGGAGACCAGCACGCAGCCAGCAACTGGGGCTACCTGGACCAAGTGGCCGCGCTGCGCTGGGTCCAGCAGAATATCGCCCACTTTGGAGGCAACCCTGACCGGGTCACCATTTTCGGCGAGTCTGCACGTGGCCTGAGTGTTCCATGCATGTGCTGTCACCCATGTCCCAGGGTCTCTTCCACGGAGCCATCCTGCAGAGTGGGGTGGCCCCCCGCTTCATCACGAACTCGTCTGATGTGATCTCCACAGTGAGTCCCCTGCACTGCAGAAGCCCCAGCAGCTTCTCCAGGACCTGTGGCCTGTGACTTGATGGGAGAGACATGGGAAGAAAGGTCTGTGTGAGCAGGGCATCGGGAGGGAGGACTGAGGTTGGCAGGGAGAACCTGGAGAACCGACCTGCTGCCTCACCTCTTGTCTCTTAGCGCCTCTCTTACTCTGTCTATTCAGTTGGCCTAGCAAGGACCACTGGGAGCCCAGCTGGCGCCTGCCCAGAATTGTGAAGGGGGGGGTCGCATTCACACGCTCTGCAATTGCGGTGATTGAGTTTGCTTGTGCCCTGCCACGCTGTCACCTGGGACCTCCAGGGTGGCACAACCATCTAAGCAGATGGCTAGTCACCCTGACTGGTACCTGCGTTTAGGGGAAGTTGGGGCACATCAAAACTGCACAATCAGGGCCAGCGCTGGGGCTCAGTGGGTTAGCTGTTCTGCAGCACAGCTCCAATATGGTGCAGGTTCGAGTCCTGCTGTTCCACTCTATCCA